GTGCTTTTCTCCTGTAGCCGTGTGCATGTGTGTGTGTGTGTGTGTGTGTGTGTGTGTGTGTGTGTGTGTGTGTGTGTGCAGTGCACCCAGTCTTTCTCCAATCCCATTGATAACATTTGTGACGACTACAGGGCCCCGCTCCACCTTCCTGCTAGCGCCACCAAACTATATTTAGCCTAGCAACAGTGATGACTCACTTCCTCCCTACACTACAAAGCCACTTCCTCGACTCTTTCCCAGATGGTTAGCCAGTGGCGGGGATGTGATTGGCTCCTTCGCTCACTCCCGGGCTAAATAATTCAGCCTCCAATTTGCTGAGAAAAACCGCTTGCACCTGAACAACTGCTTCAGCGATCTATCAGCTACACCCACCGCGCTGCGTCGCAGAGAAGAGACAGGGATGGATGGAATCTGTGCAGTATGAAATGCACGGTCTAAGTTAAGTGTACATGTGTGTATCTAAGTTGGCAATTATGCATAGTACACATGAAAATACATGTGATTAGAGAACCAGCCGTGATGACATATCTGTGAAAAACAGAAAGAAGGGACAAACTGTGTGAGGAGCATCACTCATTTTGATATTTAAAAAAAAAAATGTGAAAAATTGTGCAGGGACCTCCGATCTGAAACAGGCACTTGCATTGTCATACTTCCATATCGTTCTAAAAAAAGCACAGATATATATAAATACAGGACATTAACAAAGGGGTATCATCGCTACATGTGATTACAACAGAGAGACATTCACACCAGTGTGAGAAACACGAGGGACACCTTGTGTCGCTCAGTCTGGGCGGGGTCAGTTATTTCATCGTCTCAGCAGAGCATGAAATGCGGTCACATTATTAAAAAACAAACATGTGACTTGCACTCGTCCATCTTGGTAGCTTCAGAAATATTCTGAATGCATCATTATCTGCCACCTGCAGCTTTTTTATTTTAGCTTTACTGCACTCAAAGTCTCGTGTGTCTCGTGGGTTCATCACGCTCCTGAGGGGCAAAAAAAAAAGAAATCTGCCGAGACGCTTTGGAAAAAGATGTGTGTAACCCAGGTTAATTTAATTTGATTTAGCCTTCTGTTTTTTTTCTTTGAGAGGGGAGTGACCTCAGTGAACCTCCATAAATTATGATTAATCATTTTATTTTGTATTTATTTATTTCCCTATTCTTTTTTTCCTCCATAATCTCACCTGAACTCCGCTAAAATCTATCAACCAATCAGAGCTCATCCCACTTATCATAAACATCCGGTTCACACGGTCACTTCCTCTCATCTCATGCTTGCACAGACAGAATTGTTTGGTTGTCCAAGACGGGACAACTGTTGCATGCATTTACACAGCGGGGAGTTTGTATATTGTGTATTATAATGTTAGATCGAGTGATTAATGTCGTTGTTTATTTTCTCCTGCAGGAATCCCCTTTGAGAAACACGTGTGCTCACCTGACTTCTTTCTCCCCTCAGTGTGTGTGTACTGTAAGTAAAGATCTCCTACAGAGCAACGAGCAGACAACACATGACAGCTTCACTATTTCTGAAACTACTCTGATATACCATTTCTCCCCCAGGAAAAACAAACATCATGTAAACACAACCTGAACAGATTGTCAACAGGGTGTTAGAGACGTTATATTTTCTGTTTTTATTGAAACACATGATGCTTGCTCTGGTATGTTATCTGGTGTCTGTACTGGTTATTAGTGGATCAAACATGGAATCATAAAATGTTTCAGTTCGGCTCAAAAGGTCACAAAGATGTGATTAGAATTAAAAACCATATAAAGCGGGCCAATTAACCAACGCGCCATTATAATCATTCTCTACCATAAAAGCTTATTTTCCTTTTCTCCTCTTCTTTAATTTGTCTCTTTCTTCTTTTACACCTTATTCAGTATGTGTTCTTGTTAGCTTTATTGTTTTTGCTTGGACTACATTAATAATTTGTCTCTGTGTTACATGTTTCTCTTTAGGAGGGCTACACTCCTCCAGCACATTTCTTTCAAAATGAACATTTTGTTAATGAACTTATAATTATGTACTGTCTGTTTTTCCATTGATCTATTGTGTTTGTTTGTGCAATAAAAAGAAGAAGCCCCTAGACGTAAGTGATGTGTGTCTATGAGATGGAACTTTAATAGCATATGGTGTTGATTATACTTGAAGGTGCTCGATGTAAAGGTAGGTTGAGTTTTATTCAAGCATAGGTGGACTTGTTTCAGTGACTTGAAGTTTAATAAAAGCGTTTGTATGTTTTTCTATAAACTCATGTGATTCACAGCCACCACAGCACAGGGCAGCTCCAAGTCTCTCACACACACACACACACAATCTTTGTCACTACAGATTTTTAAAGGAGGCACAAAGTCAAACCGCTGTTTGCCAACTTGCCCACGCAGTTTGGACCTGTGGCCTTCCTTGTTTGAACAGTATTATATAAGTGGTTAAAGGGTAAAAGCAGTAGCACGCTGCGCCACATGCCAGCCGTTACATAAGCCTACCTGTGCACATGTTGACGGCTTACAACAACAGCTGTGGTCCTAACCTGCTCACAGCTGCAGCCAGTGTGAAGCCTCCCATCAGGGAGAGTGACAACACACACACACACACACACACACACACACACACACACACACACACACACACACACACACACCTCTGACCTGACCCCATCTCATCTCTGTCTTATCCTCTGCTCTTTTTTAACAAATCTGTCAACAAATCACACCTGTTCTGTTCTGGCTTGCTGTTGGTTTCCAGTTTAAGATTTCATTATTTGGATTTTTAAATCCCTTAATGCGCTGGCGCCACAATATGTGTCCGAGTTGTTGCACCTCCATGCTCCAGTCAGAGCGATGCGGTCAACACAGCAGATGGATGTTCCAAGGTGCAGCAGGCTAAAAACCCCCGAGGTGACAGAGCTCCCAATCTGTGGAACAGTCTACCTGTTAATATAAGAACTGCTCAGTCCATCAACTACTTCAAACCTTTGCTTGAAACTCACCTCTTTGCTCTGACTTTTAAATCCATCTGAGCTTGACATTTTTACATTTTATTCATGCTCCTATTTATTGTGTTTTTATTGTGTTTCATTCTATATCTTATTTTATTTGTTGTTTTTACATTGTGTTTTTGTACAGCTCTTTGGTCAATCAAGGTTGTTTTAAATGTGCTAAAGAAATAAAAATTGATTGAACTTGTCTGCATTAACTTCCCTGAAATTACCTTTTGCCTTTTATTCACCAGCAACACAAACTCCTTCCTTTCTCAATCTGGGCTCTATAGGTGGTAAATGCCCACACCAGCAACACCGTGCCAGTCTCCATAATTAGCATTGAGTGATAGTGAGGGGGGGGGATAAGAAATGGATACATGACAGAGAATACAGGGGTATTTAAATGGTGCAAACGTGGCAGAGATTAGAATAGACACAACTGAATATTGTGGATAAACAAATAACTCGATCCTGTTAGTGAACTTTATCAAATTTGGAATGGAGTGGGGTCGACTCTCTGCCAAGTCAGTATACAAAGAATTAGCTCTGATTCCCAGAGATCAGAGAGCACATGGCACAAGGCGAGGGGCGGGAAGTGGGCGGGGCTTACAGCACTGAGGGGGAGGGCCAAAATCGTGTGAGTCTAAAATTAACCGATACCCAGTGAGTGGTAGGCTCACTGGGGGCCCTCTCACACCCGTCTCTCATTTGTCTCTCCTCTCACCCACACACACACCATCTCCCCCCGCCCTCCCGCCCTCCCCCCCTCCCCCCAGCCTTTCCTTTAGCCTCAAGAGGTGTGCAACATGGGAGCATTCCAATCTGCAGAGTCATGGTTAAAGTCCCCTCTGCATGCGAGCGTGTGCCAGGTTCATGTGTGGCTATATTTGACACATGGAGCGCTGCCTGTTCCGTCAGATAGTTGAATGACATATCCTCGCCTTGTAGTCTCCAGCGGACCCTCCAGACAGACGGCAAAGGGCGGGGGCCACAGCCGAGAGAGAGAGAGGGACTTCCCTTTGCCCATTGTACCGTCTGAACGCACTAATGAATATATGAAAGGCCAAAGAGAGGGAGTCTGACGGTGCAGCAGACAGGTTACATAAACCTCTAAAAAAAGGCAGGAAAGTTTAGATATTGTGCGTATTAATAGTGATTACACTAAGTCTGAGACGTGGGGGGGGGGGGGGGGGGCAATATTATGTTACCAGTGTGATTAAAGCCAGCTGCTCAATCCTTTAAACACTTAATCCCAGGAACACTTTATGGTGCATTTGAAGATGAAGAGGCTCAACATGACACAGAGGAGGGAGGAGGGATCTATCTTTCCTGAAAACTACAAAAGTTGAATGTGTTTAAAAAGCTTTTTAAACTTTAAGAACTGTGATATTCAAAAGAATGGATTAAATGTTAAGATTTGACATTAAATACAAAAAAGACTAACATATAAAGACTGAATCGAACATGTACAACGATTCATTCCCAGAGCCTCAAATGGAGTTTGGCGCTGATACTTGTGTTTATTTTAGAGAGGAAAAAATTAACTTATGGACTATCATAAAAGGTCCAATATCAAACTTTTGAGCAGACCGCTGTCCGCTTATTTATTACACTGTTACGTGTTTTCTAGACAGAGGTGACGGCATCGTGGAGCGAGCATTTTTAGACACACTATAACATGTTTTACTAATCGACCCCAAAGCAATGTGTTCTGTAAGGAAAGTTTCATATCGCTGCCTTTCATCTACACCATTTATGATGTTTGTGTGAAAACATGGGCGGAAATCACGGGGGGGACAGGGGGGTCCGGACCCCCCCAATCCTAGAAAAATAGATAATAAAATAAAAAAATCCTGTTAATTGTCGCCCCCAATAGTGAAGTGAGATATCCGCCCTCGTGTGAAAAGCAAAAACTGGCCAAAAAACACGGTGACAGATCCATCTGTTGGGCTCTCGTATAACAGTCACTACTGTGCCTTAGGAGGAAGAGCGTGTCCACTGATCACACAGTTGCCTAGCTCCTCCTGAAGTGTTAAATCCCCCCCACATTGGTCTGTTCTGCAGTTGACTGCATGGATGAAAGCTCAGAAGAAGAAGATGAAAGAAGCATCACTCATCCCACTGACCTTGTCTCCACTGGAGTAGAAGAAGTAGCGCAGGCGGACGATGTTGCAGTGATCCAACTTCCTCATGATCTGCAGCTCGCGGTTCTGTGAAACACAAAAAACAATCATGACACATCACATTGAAGTCTTAAGGGCCAGGTTTCAAAAAATCAAAGTGGAGCTTTAGGAGACTTTGAAGGCTTTTCATTTGACCTGCAGCACAACTGTGGAAAGTTTCACTCAAGGACCAAAAAGTGAAAATGCCAGAAGCATGGGTCAGTAGTCTTGTTTGCACTGTTTCTGTGTCTTGTGACTGAAAAACACTTGTGTCACTAATCCTCTCAGAAAAACAATCACCTTGTTGTCAGCTACGTCGTCGTCACGAGCTCAATGTGACAGAGTGTCAGGAGTCCAGATGACAAAATGAGATGAGGGTGCAGAGAAAGAATGCTTTTAAAAAAAAATAGAGAAAATGGAGAAACATTCCTTCAGGGACGGATTCATCCCAGGAGTTTAAAACATGATGACACAGTAATGCACTGTGTGGCAGAATGCCTGTTCCCATCAAAGCAACAACAATTACAACAAAAGAGCAGTGGGAAGCACAAAGAGATCGGAAAACAAACCCCGTAATAGAAACACTTAAGAAAAGTCAACTTTGTTAATAATGGGACATGCATCAGGATCTCTCAGAGCCACGAGAGCAAAATGATGGCACTCACACACAGTGTCCATGCAGAGAGTGGCTTTGCTCATGGACTTTAACGTTCTGTTGGCGGGCGGGGATAAAACCATTACATTAAGCTCCGCTCTACAAACAGATCCATTACAGTTTATACTCCATTTCTCCACTTCTTCTTCCCTCCATCCTCTTCATCACAGTGTTTTAAGATGTTCTTAAAGGGACACTTCACCCGTTGAAACATGAATCTGTGTTGACATTGGGTCATATATGTAGAAATGTGAAATACATTTTGAAGTAGGAGCCTTCTTGACCGAGAAAAGACAGAAAGTGTCTTTTTGGCTCATGTGGATGAAAGACACCAAATCCCAGAATGCACAGCACCGCAGGCCAGCGGCGGCTAGAATTAGAGTTAAGTTTCGATTCTGGGAGTGAGTTCCCACCCACTGATCTGTGATTGGTCTGTAGCTTCAGTGGTCGATATGAGGAACTAGCGTTGTAGTTTCACCGCGCTAACCGCAACAGCTTCCAGTGATGCAAAAATCATCATCTTGCGTCACTGGAAGCTCCTTTACAGACTCAGAAATACAAAGATTTCTCATCTCAGGGGAAAATGAGGGCGGGATGCACGACCATTCAAAAATACTACCAGGTTTCTAATGATACAAAGATTAATGCTAATGGGTGAAGTATCCCTTTAAGTGCTTGTGTAACATTTCAAGATTGTGGAATGGAAAACCAACGGAAACAAACGGAGAGCAGAAAACAGCGATTGAGAAGATGAGAAACCATATGATAATCTGTTTTTTATTTGATAGCAGCTACATTAATAGAAGACAGGTTTTGCACTATTTGATGTCACTTGTTTTTGCCTCACATGTGCAAGCTCACATTTTTTGGTATTTGTATGATCCATTTCTTAGAAACTCAGTGGAGTGCAGGATGGAAATAATGAATTCAAAACCAGAATGTAATCAGATGAAATTTACTGAGACATTTGAGTTGTGTGTTTCAACTGGCCAGATGACGAGCCGGTGACTCTCCCACTGATTTATTCCCAAACTGAACGCTGAAGGTTGAAGTGTGATTGACAAGCTGACTAGCAATCTATCTGACTAACTGTTGCTGTGTTGTCTATGTACCATCAACACAATGTGGGGAGATGTTTGGGGGGGGGGGGGGGGGAGATTTTGATTATCTGGATGACCGGCTGATCGAGCGTCTGACCTGAAATTTGGTGGAAACAAATGCTTCTGTTTTGGAGGTGGTGGATAGCACTAAGGTAAACCATGTAGAGTTGACATGTTTTTTTTAATTAAGCTCTATCTCAGGATGAAACATTTTTATGGTGCTACAACTACTTCTTTGCATCGTCTTGATTGGTCTAAATTATGTAATCTATTGGATAATTTCTGAATTCTAAAATGAAAAGATTATCTGCAGAAAATGTGTTTTCAACTTTTCTGACAACTGATATATTAATACAAGAAAGATGCCCCTCTAGCTGCACCCTCGTCCTCATTTCTGGAGTTTGATTACATGAAGAAAATGAAAAAAAAAAAGTAACCTGAATGTCAAGTTAAAGGGCAAAACTTTAAAAAACGTGCCGTCATGTGGTCCTAATATGTTAAGATACATGACATTTTAAAGCAAAAACCATGTGTCTTACTATTATTTAATAAAAAAAAAAAAAATCAAGAGATATTCACTTTAAAAGATAGAACAAGACATGTTTGGGTGTTTTGTTTAAATTAAATAAATATTTTCCTTTCTAAAGCCTCCTGTGGACAGGTGTTGAGAACTAGCATGCTCGCTAAAACACTTAAACAATGCATCTGGTTCGTCCAATGTATCTGTGATGTCCATGCCACATAAAGTCTATTATTATTATTATTATTATTATTATTAAAATTGTGCTGACTATTAACTGTGCTATACATGATCATGTAGATGTTCCTGCCTTACATCGATGAAACGGTTTTGAAAAGCAGCCTGATAAACCGTCTGAGCAGGAGGTGGACTGTCTGAGGATTGTTTGACTTAATAGTGAGAAACTGTGCTATCTGCCTGACTGACTAATGAGCTCCCCCTGCGATGTGGGTCAGAACCATGCTGGCTGGCGCAGGCAGATATGCTGTCATCCTTCCACACTTTTCCGCCTCTTTATGTGGATTTAATCCACTCTCATTCATTTTTTAAGAGAGCAGAGAGAGAGCGGTGTGTCCACTAAACGAGACACGGGCGTCTCAGCAGCAGCAGCAGCCGCCTGATATGGACGATTCTCCTGATTCACTTACAGGCAGACACAAAAGGTTCCCACATACTCCCCCTTGCTTTTTAACCCCCTACCCCACTATGATGAACACACACACATATATACGACACACACACACAACCACTATAATATAAAGTGACATCATAGTGTGTGGGTCAACGACCAGCCATTGAATTATCGTGCACTGCAGGCAACGCCCTTGTGTCTTCTTGCAGTGGCTCAGTCGGTAGTGTGTGTGTGTGTGTGTGTGTGTGTGTGTGTGTGTGTGTGTGTGTGTGTGTGTGTGTGTGTGTGTGTGTGTGTGTGTGTGTGTGTGGTTGTATGTGAGAGCGATGGTACCATATGGAGGAGGAGCAGACAGGCTGTTCAGTGAAGCCCTGCCCAGCTCCAGTGATACTGCAGTCATTCCTGCTGACCTGTCATCCTCCAGTGTGTCAGCAGCCGAGCCAGCAGAGACACAAGAGGAGAGAAGACCTCGACAGCAGGCGCCCTGAAGTGCTACACCTTCATGCTGCTGCTGATGTGCAGAGTCAGACAAAAACCACATCCACTTTCCAACAGGATTTAGAGCAATCTCATTCTCACCACCCACACAAAGACACACACTGTCTTACTGTTCTGCTTACGTAACAGCTTATGGACGATACTGAATAAGATAAGATAAGATACTCCTTTATTCATCCCACAACGGGACATTTACGGGGAACGCAGGACTTTTTTATCTGTAACTACAATATTTCACTTCTCATTGCTGATATAACAAGTCCTTTAAAATCTTTCTGTGATTTTTCACACTTAAATATAATAGAAATCAATAAATCGCATGTAAAGCCTTTAAGTCTCGCTTATCTTATTTAATTTTTTTACTTGGTGGTTAAAATGTTTTCAAACCTACTCACTACGTAAAAAAAAGTGAGAATAGTTTAATTTTCATACAGGGAAAGCATTTGTCATTACTTGTGTAAATTTGAAAGTTGGAGAAGTGAAACAATTGCATATTATATTTTCTGAACTGAATACACAAACTTTATTAAAAGAAAAAAAAATGGGTCCCTGGAAAACTATTTAGAGCTTAAAAGCTAACAGGAGAGTTACAGTGTCACTGCTGCAGGCCGGCCACCATTACTTCTCGCATAGTATTTAATCTTCAAACAGTGTTACAGGGACCATATGTTCCTCTGAGGACAGTTTGTGTATCGAGTTATAAACATTTACAGAATCTGTACATTTCTCCAACTTTCATATTTCTCTTCCAAAACGACATAGTGCACCTTTAAAGAAAAGATAATGAACCTAAGCTCCATTAACAAATGATCAAAGGTGTTTTATCAAAGTAAATCAAGGATGTAAATAATGTTTAGGTAACTAGGTTCAGTTGTTAATTAATACACATGTGGGTCTCTGGCAGCAGAAATAATTTAATATTTTAGAAAACGTATCGTCCATCTTCAACAACAAACTGTGTCAACCACAGAACTGTTGCGGGTTGAAGATCTCTTCATCTAGAGACGTCTTTAGAAACCATTTGACACACAGTGATAAGCGATATCCGGCTATGACTACACAGACGATACTTATCAGTCAGAGAATCTGTCGTAGTTTTTTCCTTTTAAAAATGAGCAAAATATCCCAAACAGACTCTGGAACAGTGTTACTGTAAGAGTGTTGTGTAAGGGCCATTAGCAGACGTGCTCTCACCCTCTGTCTGTCTGTCCGTTTGAGTGATTGTCAGTTCTAACGAGAGCATCCATTTTCCAATAGGCTGATATGTGATCCCTCTGATGGGAGTGGAGGAGGACGTATCCCATAATGCACCAGGAGCTGATTGTAAAAAACCCACTAAGGATTTTCCCTACACATTCATCAGCTTCTCCCCAACACAGAGCCTATTCACATGACTGTCCTGTTTTGACTCTGTGTGTGTGTGTGTGTGTGTGTGTGTGTGTGTGTGTGTGTGTGTGTGTGGCAACTGAACACCAAATGAGACATAAAAAAAAAGAATCTAAGTGTAGAGAAAGAGCTTTAGAGGAGAAGGAGTGAGCTTCAGAAGAAACCAGAACGCGGCAGGTGTTTGGGATATGATTGTGTGTTTATCTGTGGAGGGAGGGTTGTGGTACACGGTCTAGCCTGGCAGTCATGTGAGGAGTCTTAGCACTCATTTGTTTCAGTTTTGAGTAACAAGCTGCTCACAAGGAAGGAGCGGAGGCAGTTAAGACAGAGAAGGAGACATAGCTAAAGGCAACAGGAGAGAGAGAGAGAGAGAGAGAGAGAGAGAGAGAGAGCTTAACGACAAACAAGGAAGAAAATGTTTGTGAGCTTCTTCCACTGTTTCAAGGATGTTTCCTGCTAGTGTGTCATGCTAACCACAGGCTAACCAGGGACAGGCTAACAGGAAGAGCAGGACATGACCTCATCATGGCAGAGTCACAAAGAGTGCATGATATTTACATTGTGTGCATTTTATGGCAGCTGGTCCATCATTCATTGTGTTTTTTCAAAGAGTGGATTACTAGCAGTTACTGGAAAAACTGCTAAAAGGTGAAATATGGGGCACAGAGCTGCTCAAGTATTTAGCTGAACCGGTTTGCTCAGCACAACAGATCCGGGGGGGGGGGGCTACAGGCAAACCCATGTGACTGAACCTTTACTAAACTTCAGTCACAAGAGACAGAGCTGGAGGTTTGCAGTGGAGGAGACACCTAGGCCTGTCCTGCCGTCACCCTTCCTCCTCTTCTCTCGCCAACACACCTCGACTCTCCTGAGAGGGACGGAGCAGATCTTTAGTTCTGAGCAGAGCGATCGTCGAGAACTTCACTTAGAGAAGTCGTGTGTTACTAACTGTGTGATAACCAAAAATCAAATCCGTTGAGAGAATTTGTACCAACAAAAATCTAAATCAGTTAATTTCCTTAGTTTTGTAATGAATATAACAAGGATCACATTCCACAGCAGAGCCACATTTTGAAACATGCAGGTTTTTACTGATAGAGAAGATTAATTAAGATTTACTGGATTGATCCCTGCAAGGGGAACTTTAAGTTTTTACACTCTGTTAACCATGCAACACACACATAGGCTGAACTATACACACAGACAGGATCCTATGGACATGCACTAATGGAGAGATGTCAGAGTGAGGGAGCTGCCCACAGCGGGCGAGTGATGCCACTCTTATGTCCGTTTGGTAAATATGCAGTTATCACCAGCAGCTGGCTAGCTTAGCTTGACATCTGCTGGCTCGTACAATCTGAGGAAAACCTCTGATGTGTGAACTCATTCTCTATATTAAAATGACCGTTTGACTGGGTACAAATGAACAAACATCTAAGTGTGATTATGAGTACGTGCAACTCTCTTTGCAGAGTTTGGTCTTCTCCCCTCAGGCAGACGGTACAGACTTCCTGTGGTGAAGACTAAAAGGCATCGGGTCTCATTTGTACCTGCTGCTATTCGTCTGTTGAATAGCAGTTGAATTCTAATTCCTTTGCTCATTGCACTTTATCATTTTTATCATGATGATGGAGCATCTCTGCTGGGCTTCATGTTTCATGTTTGGATGATTTATTAGTGTTGTTTATGTATTTATGTCTCCAGCTGCAAACAAATTTCCCTGTGGGGACAATAAAGATACCTTTGACCTTTGATTACCTTTAGTACCTGCTTTTCTCACACTTGAATGATTCCAAATAGTAAAGATTCTGTTCATTTTCTCTCCTTTCCCAGATATATTGGGAGCTTACCACCATGCAGTAACGACCAAAACTCTCACCCTGACTCATCGAACTACAGTGGGATTTAAACCGGGTGTCAACCTACTGCAGCACTGTTGTTTTTAACAGTTCCCCTTTCTGTTTGAAGTGTGATTTCATCTAAGTTGTGTTTATGGATTGAGCCTTGTCAAAAGGAGCATTTGTGTCACTGCTGGGACAGAAAATGAAGTTTATCTATCAGTAACATTTTGGTATTGCCCCTTTTTTTAAATTTTACACTTTTAAATTCTATTTTATATATTGTAATATCTTCTTATTCTGTATTATTTAAGTTGTTTCTAGTTCTGCTTTATTTCCTTGTTAATTGTTTAGCACCAATACACCAAGTCACATTCCTTGTTTGTGTAAATGTACTTGGCAATAAACCCAGATTCTGATTCTGATTCATTTTCTGTTATGGTCAAACCGATGGGATACAGCGTGTTCATTAGAAAGCTTTTAAGATGCTGGTAGGTGGGTTCTGTAGTTTTTACACAGCTTTATTAAATCCTGAGGTTAGCTGTTAGCTGAAGCTTTACATTAACTGTACAGACATTTGAGTGCTATTGAACCTCAAACTCTCAATCTTTTTTTTTTTTTTTTTTTTTTAAAGTGATAAAGCCTTCTTTAGAAACGTTTCCTTGAAGGGCCCCTCTCTTTACAACTTTAAGATGTTCAAATGAGCTGAAATCCTATTTTTTGGAAGAGCAGAGTCATGGTGTGTGTGTTCTGAGTTTCACATGTGGAAACCATTACTGCCACACACTGTATTGCATCATCTTGAATGTGCCCTTTGGCTGTTGATGTACTGTGACCGGTGTTTTGGACGCCTGGGTTGGAGGTATACTGTTTGACAACAACTATTTCTATTGCAGCGTACATAAGAGGGGATAGTGAATGAAACGTTGAAGACAATCTGCAGAGTCCCTCTGCACCTTTAAGAAAAAGCTAAAGACCCAGCTCTTTCATGAATACCTACTAACTTAATGATGATGGTCTCCATATTATTGATGATGATGATGGTAATGACGATGGTTTTTGTTTGATAACGACGACTTATAAGATGGTTTCTATACTGATTAGAGCTCTCAAGAACTGCCCTCAATGTTGTGCTTTGCCTCTGGTCACTTCCTGTCAGCACCTGTGTGTCCAATCAGACTCAAAGCTGATCGTTTGCTCTTACTCACATTGTTCCCTTTTTTTCTAGATCCTTGCTTGTGTTGTTCTTACTCTCTGATGTACGTCGCTTTGGAGAAAAGAGTCTGCTCAGTGAATTGTAGAATATGGTTTTGCTTCTGTTACAGGTTGTAATTTGACACTCTGTCGCTGAATTAAAAACTGTCTAAATAGAAGAAATGCAATTTCATTTTTGCCACCAAGATTTAACCGTACAATATGTTGAATTTTTTAAGCTAAAATATCAAAATTCAGAGTTATCAAGCAACAGAAATCTGTAATTTTATAGTTGTAGCGACAAGACAAGACTATTTACAGTGACTTGTAATGCTGTGTTTAGATATGGTTTTCTATACATTTCATTAAAATGGCTTAATGGCTGTGTTTTCAGGCTGTAGTAGTTTTAATGTTAGAAATGTGATAACTTGTTTATCACTTTAGTTCAGTATTACTCAAGGCCAATAACATGGGCAGGACACAGAGCACCCATAACTCCAACCTCTGAAGACTATAAACTTAATGAGACTCTAAACAGCTGTCCTGCAGGCTTGGCAGTCTCTGGTCTTTTATGTGAGCTGGCACCAGGGTCCACTTTAACCCCCCTTCCCCACAATGAAGAGTAAAGCAAACAATGTCAGCCCAGCCAAGAAACAACAAGCCATGAGTCAAATCTATTCAAAGCACAGAAGGAGGTTTCATGCAGAGATTTGCCTGGAAGTTAAGGTCGACGTTGGCATGGTGGTGACTGAACCTCACTTAAGACAGACGACTGGGTATTAATGGGTTCAGGTTTGTTTGTGTAAGAGAAGAGCTTCCCTCCAAACACACGCACACAACACACTTCCTGCGAGGAAATACACCAGATTAAAGCAAGGATGTTTTTTTTGACTGAAGCAAAACACAGATTTCTGCCTTTCTTTTCTGCAGTTTCACTGATCTCATTGTTCTTGTGAAAGATCACTCCATTCAATTCTCTTTCACAGTTACTCAGTCACATTTATTAAAGCAACAAGTCCCTACTTTGGTTACAAAGTTGGAAAAAATAAGGACGACTACAAAATAAAAAGACAAATTAGAGCAAGTTTTTGCACATCATCAGCACTCGTACATGCTACTTTTCTTTCTTGTTTTTTGGTTGACAAGCGAGAGACGTGAGTCAGATTAAAGATGTGTAGCATTACAGGGGTTGACATTAAGTGTGCCTCCGGTCCACTGGGTTTCAGAGATCAGTGGCCCGACCCATGTAGCCGCTGGCCCAGGAACATCACTTTTGATTCGAAGAATAACAGTCACCAATTTACTCTTGAACCATTCTGATGCAAAAGTCAATTACAACTTTTATTTATGAATTGAGCTCTAATTATAAACATATTGTGTATTTTTCTTATATCTATGTGCTCCTGTTTATTCACCATGCTGCTAACTGTAAGAGTCTACTTAATGTGATATTAATATGAGGCTGTGATAGATCTGGAATCTCTCCTTCTTTCTTCTCTGTGAGAAACTCTTCATCCTTACATCTTTACTTTAGGAGCTCTCTTAAGGACTAACATGTTTGTGAATAACTTTTATCTTCAGCAGGATCTAGTCTTTAACTTTAACGTGTTCCAGCTCCTCCAGCTGTCTGTCACTGTGGATCAAACTTTTCTCTCTTTTCGTCCTGCTGTCACTCTCCACTCTTGAACGTGTAATCAGCTCAGACTCTGTCAATCATTCATCCGGGCGTGCGGGTCAGTTAGAATGTTGAGCCCTGCATTCGTTTGAGAGTCTAGCGCTCCTGATTTACCTTGAACCTCTTGTCCTGCAGAACCTTCTTGATCGCCACCAGCTCTCCAGAGTCGCACAGTTTGGCCTGGTAGACGACGCCAAACGAGCCGTTGCCGATGACCTTGGTGTCCGTGTAGCTCACCTCCTGTGGCCGGTCGGGGCCTTGGCCTGGAGTGGCCACGACTGTTGTTACCTTGCTGCCATCTTTATCCCCTGAAGAGAAACAAACACAGAGAGGGGAGATCAATACAAACGCTTAGAACTCACTTTTCTTCGGCAAAATAATTCAGCACTTTGCTTTCCACAAAGTCAAACCTGGTCGTGGTCCGTGCACGGTTTGGGCTAACAGTCAGTAAAACTAGCTTACTCCTTAAGAATCAGCTCGTTTTTTTCCACAGGCCGGAGAGCCAACTAATAACTCCACTGTAGAAAACAACAGCGATGGTGAGACCTCATCGTCTCTTCAGACTTTAGGAGTCTTTATCAGCAAAATGTTTGAGCTAAAAGACGCACAGCACCATGTCCCAGTCTGTGGACCCCGATGAACTACTGGTTTGATTTTAGGTCTATATAGCCTATTAGGGTCTGAAAACAAAAGGCACAAAGTAATGGTTTGTCATGCTGACAGCTAACTGTAGTGATGCTAGCAGTTAGCAGTTCTGGACCAGCTAAGTGGTGCTGCAGATTCAGAACCCGATTTCTTTTTGGTAGCAGCAGGGTAAGAGAGGAACCTGAAGAACAAAGGTCATGTCATGCATTTTGAGTTAAAGTGAAATTCCCTACCACAGGTCTTATTCATATTTCCTGTGTTTGCCTCATAAAAAGACTTGAATCAATTCTCTAATTTCACATGTGAAACCAGTCATTTAAACACTGGTTGTGTTCCATTCCCAGTAAGCAACGACACAATGGCAGAGAGAAACAATGCACACAAAAGAAAACCTGAAAATACAGCTGCTGACTGGAATTCAGCCATCTTTCATTTTTATAATCTACACCCGTGCGTCTCACGTCTTAAAGAGTGTCTTTAAGAGTCAGACTCAGAAAACACCGTCTTCTTGGAGATGCTGATTTTTGATTGACAGGTTGCAGCTTTCACTATGTGACTGTGACTGTGAGACACACAACCATTTTTGGCTTCCTACGGCC